GTGATCAATCAGTTGAAAGGATGAATAAATGGACGGACCTTACCGTATACTTGTTGCATTTGTATTTAAGATGAATCTAATGAAAATATATGGGGCATCTAGAGTGGTTAAAGGAGCTTGAATATCCACGGTGAAAAGTGGAGGTTTAACACCCTATCAATCTAGGCCATATAGAACATGGAAGACGTAAACTAACAATGGCTCCTAGATCTCTGACACCTCTCCAGACTCCATGATGCCATGAAATAAGTGACTCATGGCGCTCCCATCTGATTATAAGCTTCCCCATAAGAAAAATTCGTTTGCTGGTGGTTGTTCTTGACTAACATAGGATAAAAAAAAAAAATTACGCGAAGGTTTTGATCTCAGTGAGGTCCACGGCCTTCCCCTTGTAATAATCTGGATATGACCTCTTATTAAGACCAGTAAGCTATGGATACCCACTTATGCTCTGATCCAAAAGACCAGAATTGTGGCTTCAATACAAACTCATTGAAAGACAAAACATTTATGGAATGTGTGTGTGTGCACTTACACACATACATCCAAAAGTTTAAAATTCCGTAAGAAGCTCCAATGCACCAGAGTAAAAGAGAAAGAAAAAGGTTTAATTATTAAACTGCTTTATATGAGTCTTCTTATAATTCTCAAAAGTTGCTGCACTTTCTTTGGCAACTTTGAAACCCAAGCTTGAAATTCCAAGGATGATATAATTTAGTTCATGGTTATCTGTGGTGCTTTTTCTAGTTTTACTAAATATTCATGCAATCACTGAATTTCAGTTTTTGAAGTCTTCCAATCAATTTTTTCCTAAGAAAGTGGCTTTCCGTATTAAATAGAAATCAGAAAAATGTGTAATTTGCATGTGATTGTTGGTATGCAAATTATAGTACTTGGGTTTTTTCTCATAATTGCCATGGGGAGCCAAAAGTTCCTTCTTGATAGAGGGGCGTTGTGATCGTGAGGTTGGTTGAAGGGGCTCTATCTTTTGCAAGGGCATTGCCTACCAAGTTCAATTTGTGCCATATGCTTTTAAAAAGGCACTTAAGTTTGGCTGCTCAAGTTGAAAATTTGGTCGACGATGGTTTGTAGTCTCCAAGTTCAGGGATTGACCTTTTCAACGAATTTATCATGGTCATTGCGACCAACTATGGGCAGACCTAGCTGCGTACTAATAGTCAACCCACTGAGTGGGAGCAGGGGCAGGGGCAGGGGTAGGGCCTTGGCGGGGGTAGAGTTGGCATGTCCTATCGGGCTTATTATGTAAGGATCATTTCAGTTGAACAATTACAGAATGCGAATACCAGCCAATTCCAGGTTCCCAGAAGAGGAGCCATCAAAATTAAGTTTGACAGCCCTGGTGGCAAGTGGGTTCCAAAGTGAAGATATGGAAGTACGCATTGGTTTGGAGCAGAGGTGTTACAAGTGCTGCTCTAAGCCCACTTAGAAATATAAAAAATTATTGGCAATATCAAGCCCAAAAAGATAATGGTGGCTTTTAGTTGGTCAATAATCGCATTTTTGTGCAATTCTTTGCTCTTAAAGACTATTTTGTTTGGTTCCAACTAAATAGTCTGAGTAGCTGCTGATATAGCAGCCAGCCATAAAAGCATACCATGGAAGAGAAGAGGCGATGGGGGGCCCAGGGGGTGCAGGGGGGAATGTATAGTTGGACTGTTTCAGGCATGACCCAAATTTAGCCCAACATATTTAAGATGAAAGTCCAATGTTAGTGGCCACCCTACCACGAATAAATAGATGGTCAATGGAATCTTCTCTTTCTTTACACAATGCACACCTATTGGTGAGTGAGTTTCCTTCTGCTGCAAGTGATCTATCTTTGGAATCTTTTTGACTTTGGCCATACAGCTGAAGGCCTGGACCTTAGGTGGAGCTGGGGCCACAAAATGGGGTAGAATGTGTTTGGTTGCTTTTGATCTGATCAGACTCGGAAGAAAGAGATTGAAACTCACAAATAGGAGAAGTATGCCAGATGAGTTCATCTCTGCCATGTCGAAGAATAAATTGTTGTTTAAGCTGGTCCAGCAAGAAGACCAAATGCATTATGGGACCAGCGAAAACTTCTCTCTCTCAATGGTGAAAGCCTCTCTCTCTCTTTCCCTTGCTCATGAGTCCCATCATCTGCATGCCTTCTTCCCCTCCCCACCCTCCATTTGACCTTGCACAACCAACATCTCTCCTCCTGACCCTAGATCTAGCCACCCCTACCTGCCCCTTCCCCTACTATATCAAAACTATGTGCCCTTCCCCTACTATATCAAAACTATGTGCACCTGCTAAGACCATCTTATCTCGCTTCTCCTGCCCTTAGACTTACACGAACCTTGCTGCTTCCCCAGCTAGACAAAGATTTCTTTTTGCTAAACTCATCCCCTTAAGAGGGTCATCACATTGTAGAACAGGGCTGGAAACTACAGACATTCCTTGTTGGCCATATCAAACACAAATGAGATAATCTTTAGAGGCATTGAAAAATGGGGCTGGCGGTTTTGGCATGAACCAAACCTGGACATCCTAGTGGTGCTATCCTATTCTCTTTCCCGATGGAAGGGTGTGCCATATGTAATGGGAACCCTCAAAAAGGAGCTCCCTTGTGCTTGGTCCCATGGGTTCCCTCCACAAACAGATGATCTGGCTGAGAGCCACCGATATCCCCCTCGAAGTGTGGCATAACAATACTTCTAGACAGATTGGTGAGGCCTGTGGCAATTTCATTACAGTCCATCGGAAGTCCTCTGAATTTCTCCCACTGGGCACCACTCAGTTGCTCATTGAAATTGTAGATCCCCAGCTCATACCTTCCAAGTCATGGCTTGCCATAGAGGCCACTTGTTTTGAGCCGTCTCACTTAGAATTCTAGCTGACCCAAAATAGTTGGGATAAGGTTGGGATGATGATGATGATCATCTCATATTCTGCATGATATACCCTTGGCATCCATGAGCAGTAGGGAAGATGAATTGTTGACTGTGAAATGAATGTACTGGACAACAAATACTCAAATATGAGACACGTTCTCAGTATTTATGCATTTTCGGTAAAAAATTGGGAAACCATAATGCAATACTGCTATATTTTTGGAAACCCCAAAAATTAGACTTTTAAGAAATTTAGTATTTTTTGAAATTTTTTAATGCTAGATCCAGCTAAACTGCTGATCTAGATCGCCGCTCTGGATCGCTTTTCCGTGTATCCGATGCAGGTCACCTATCCGTTTTTTTCAAACATTGCCTTTAAATTATATCTTTTTACTCTATTTTTGCTTAGTTCTTATGGTGTATTTTTGTAGAAAATAGGATACTAGAAGTTTTTTTTAATCTTTTAAGAACTTTTGTTTTTGTCTTATTTACCCATTTTCAGATTTCATCAAAGAGCACATGTGATTCTTTACTTTTCATTATATTTAGACAATTTTTATTATTTCATAGGTTCTTTGTGTAAATAACATTAACCATGATATTTACTAGGAGATACAAATAGTATGGATATTTCAAGTTATAAACATCATACAAGTAGATTTGTAACACTGATTTTTTTTTGCTTTTTTTTGGGTTTTGGTTTATTGTCTGTTTTGTTTTTTTTCTATCTCCTCTTATATTGTTATGTGCTATGCACGTATAGTCAACTAGTACCATGACACTCAAAAGAGTTGGTAGTTCAAACTTATGCTTACAAAGAGGCAGTAGTGACATTGATATGATGCAAAGACTAGGCACTTAACACTCAACATTTCCATACTATATCATAATTTCATGGATTAATTATGTGCAACAAACTTATGAATTACTCATACAGAACCACATTGTAAGATTTATAATCAAGCAAAATATTTTATCTTCAGTAATTTGTAATATTACAACTTGACAACCGCGAATTGAATCCAAGAATTAATTTATCCTTTTGATAAATACTTGTTAAGTATTTGAGCTGTCTTCTCTCCATCTCGCTTGCATATTTTTAATATCTCCCTTGTCCCATGATCTCATTTACTCATTCAGGACCATTTTGCTCTCTAATCTCTCTCTCTCTCATCATGCAATTTTTTTCATACACTTTAATTTTGCCCCTTTAGTCCTTAATCTCTTTTGTAGTTCTTTTTTAAAAAGTTCTTTTTCATTCCGTTCACCTCCTTCTACCTCTCTCACATTTTCTTCCTTCTTGTGAATTTCTCATATTCCCCATTACAGGTTTCTCTATTGCTTACAGTTCTCTCAACTATTTTGAACCCCTTGCATAATCCTTTTATTGTGCCCTTCTCACATTTTCATACCTCTTGTGAACTTTTTCTTATTCCCCTTCATGCCTTCTTCTCTCCCTTGTGTTGTGAGCCTTTTTTTCTTGAGAAATTGTGTTGTGAACCTTTTGCATTTGTAAGTTCCTAGAGATCTCGATGCAAGGGTAGTTCTCTCTCTCTCTCTCTCTCTCTCTCTCTCTCTCTCTTGAACTAACACGCGCGTGCACACACACACACTATAGAGACATGCTGACATGCCTCTTGGGATTCAAATTCCTTTGAGTCAGTAAATCTTAAATATATTATTGAAAACTGTTAATATTTTGAATTGGTGGACTTGAAATCAAAAGATTACAAGGAATGTGCTTGAGTTTTATTTTTTCTTCTAAGAGGTAACAGGTGATTGGTCATGACTCATAAAGGATATACATTATGTAATTGACGAATGAATGAGGTTTATGTGTTTTTTGTTTTTTTTCTTTTTCTTTTCTTTTCTTTCTGGGCCTTGGACATGACTTCTGTGGCCCTGCGTCCTCCCCCTCCCTCTATGCCAGGGGCTTAATCCCGATATAAGTAAATTAGGTTTTTTCAATTCTGATTCTCAGAGAAAATATATTTGATATTATATGGAATCTAAGTGAAGTTCTTTTCCTTACCATTGACTGTTCACAGAGTTCTCATTTTTCACAAATATGATGGCTTCTGATGCTTTTATTTCCTTATTTATTCATTATATTTTTGTCAGGTTGACCATCTCTTCAAGGACCGCATAAATGCTGGTTTTGAACAATCTGCCGAGTATATCAGACAATTTCCTTCCCCCATTATTGCTAAGATTGTCTCATTTGTGGCTGGTCGATTTGCTGCAGTATTAATCATAGTTGCTCTCATGGATGAAGTACTGCTTGAGGCTCATGTTAGTTTCATGTCCTCAACCATTTGGTGCCCTTGAGCTTTATCATTACATTATAGCTTTTCTTAGAGAAAGCCTCTTTCTTATTTGAGGAAGTATACTATAACTATGGAAAACCATCGTCCATTCGATCATCACTGTTCATTGAAAAATGATTGGTGATGGAGAGAGAGAGAGAGAGAGAGAGAGAGAGAGAGAGAGAGAGAGAGAGAGAGAGAGACGACGACGACGACGACGTACGTACGTACGTACGTACGTACGTCGTACGTCGTACTTCGTTCTACTACTACTCTACTTACTTACGTTACGTTACGTTACGTTACGTTCTTACGT